AGTACATGTATGTCAGATCAGTAAAGTATATGAAGTACATGTATGTCAGATCAGTAAAGTATATGAAGTACATATATGTCAGATCAGTAAAGTATATGAAGTACATGTGTGTCAGATCAGTAAAGTATATGAAGTACATGTATGTCAGATCAGTAAAGTATATGAAGTACATGTGTGTCAGATCAGTAAAGTATATGAAGTACATGTATGTCAGATCAGTAAAGTATATGAAGTACATGTGTGTCAGATCAGTAAAGTATATGAAGTACATGTATGTCAGATCAGTAAAGTATATGAAGTACATGTATGTCAGATCAGTAAAGTATATGAAGTACATGTATGTCAGATCAGTAAAGTATATGAAGTACATGTATGTCAGATCAGTAAAGTATATGAAGTACATGTATGTCAGATCAGTAAAGTATATGAAGTACATGTATGTCAGATCAGTAAAGTATATGAAGTACATGTATGTCAGATCAGTAAAGTATATGAAGTACATGTATGTCAGATCAGTAAGGACTGACTGTTTTCAAACAGAATAATGTTGCACGTGTGAAACATCTAAAGGTTTCTTTGTTGTGGTGTATTGTTCAAACGGAACAGAACATGCCGGAATCTAAAAGATCTGATCAAATCTCAAACACTGAGTCTGCTACAAAACAAACACACCTTTGTCTTCAGACGGAGTCTGCTACAAAACAAACACACCTTTGTCTTCAGACGGAGTCTGCTACAAAACAAACACACCTTTGTCTTCAGACGGAGGATGACATTGTTATGATCTGACCTGTTCTTAAGAAACCGTCTGAGAGGTGCTGTTGTTTCTTTGAAGAATACGTTCGTTTCCCACCGAGACGTCTGTGACCGGTCCCACGGAGACGTCTGTGACAGACGTCTGTGACCGGTCCCACGGAGACGTCTGTGACCGGTCCCACGGGGACGTCTGTGACCGTTCCCACGGGGACGTCTGTGACCGTTCCCACGGGGACGTTTGTGACCGTTCCCACGGGGACGTTTGTGACCGTTCCCACGGGGACGTCTGTGACCGGTCCCACGGAGACGTCTGTGACAGACGTCTGTGACCGGTCCCACGGAGACGTCTGTGACCGGTCCCACGGGGACGTCTGTGACCGTTCCCACGGGGACGTCTGTGACCGTTCCCACGGAGACGTCTGTGACCGGTCCCACGGAGACGTCTGTGACCGGTCCCACGGGGACGTCTGTGACCGTTCCCACGGGGACGTCTGTGACCGTTCCCACGGGGACGTCTGTGACCGTTCCCACGGGGACGTCTGTGACCGTTCCCACGGGGACGTCTGTGACCGTTCCCACGGGGACGTCTGTGACCGGTCCCACGGGGACGTCTGTGACCGTTCCCACGGAGACGTCTGTGACCGTTCCCACGGAGACGTCTGTGACCGTTCCCACGGAGACGTCTGTGACCGTTCCCACGGAGACGTCTGTGACCGTTCCCACGGAGACGTCTGTGACCGTTCCCACGGAGACGTCCTTGACCGTTCCCACGGCGACGTCTGTGACCGTTCCCACAGTTCCCACGGAGACGTCTGTGACCGGTCCCACAGAGACGTCTGTGACCGGTCCCACGGAGACGTCTGTGACCGGTCCCACAGAGACGTCTGTGACCGTTCCCACAGAGACGTCTGTGACCGGTCCCACAGAGACGTCTGTGACCGTTCCCACAGAGACGTCTGTGACCGGTCCCACAGAGACGTCTGTGACCGTTCCCACAGAGACGTCTGTGACCGTTCCCACAGAGACGTCTGTGACCGTTCCCACAGAGACGTCTGTGACCGTTCCCACAGAGACGTCTGTGACCGTTCCCACAGAGACGTCTGTGACCGTTCCCACAGAGACGTCTGTGACCGTTCCCACAGAGACGTCTGTGACCGTTCCCACAGAGACGTCTGTGACCGTTCCCACAGAGACGTCTGTGACCGGTCCCACAGAGACGTCTGTGACCGTTCCCACAGAGACGTCTGTGACGTTCCCACAACTTTTGCTCACGACTTTTGCTCTGGAGCAACTTATGTGTGAAATAATAACACTTTGTGTTTTGAATTATATAAATGATATATTATAAATTATTTAAAATATCAAATAATAGCCCAGGCAAATAAATTAAAGACTATGCTTTTTTTCTTCTTTATCATGAATTTTCAACAGGTGCAATTTATACTTTGGAGTAATTTCTGATCTGAAAACCACGGTATGTCTGTGGCACATGGAGCATTTGTCAGTGATTTAATTTGTTTTTGGTGTAATTCACTCACTCTTTGTTCTGAAGAAGAAGAAAGTGACTCGACTGTTTGTCTCGAGGATCTGCCTCAGTTTTATCTGTGACTCTTCAGAACCTCAGGGACCATGAACTGATCGAGAAACATATTATTCCCTTGATCGTCACTGTGCCCCAGGGCAGCTGTGGCGACGGGTCATCACCACTGTGTATGGAGTGAGAGAATACTGCTGAGAAGCGTCTCAGTGTCCTAAATCTATAAAACCATTAAAACCATTATTGCATCATAACATGTCACTGTGTCCTTCCCTGACCAGCCAGTAGATGGCGACCAAAGACTTCCACTTCAGTCTTTCACTCTGAGTGTTCTCCAGGAAACAGTTTCATTCTGTGTTAAAGCTCTTCCTTATATTTAATTCCTTTTCACATTAATTCAGAGCATTGTGCCACAGCAGAGCGTGTAAAACAAAGCTCAGATGTTCCAGTTAAATCCACACAAACACACGCAGCACGACCTTTGCAGCACAGGCGTCTTTTCTGTGAAGATGATTGTCCTAATTACAGCTGCAGTGTTTAGTCAGAGGCAGGAGGACGACCACAGAATCACAGCTTTTTGTCAGATAAAAAGTTTCAGTCCTTTATATGAGTGTGGTGTTAATGATCCCCTGTAAAGATATGTGTTGATTACAATCATCACACGATAATTACCCTCCTCTGGAGCTTTGTGTAGCCTCCTCTGGAGCTTTGTGTGGTCTCCTCTGGAGCTTTGTGTAGCCTCCTCTGGAGCTTTGTGTGGCCTCCTCTGGAGCTTTGTGTGGTCTCCTCTGGAGCTTTGTGTAGCCTCCTCTGGAGCTTTGTGTGGCCTCCTCTGGAGCTTTGTGTGGCCTCCTCTGGAGCTTTGTGTAGCCTCCTCTGGTGGAGCTTTGTGTGGCCTCCTCTGGAGCTTTGTGTAGCCTCCTCTGGAGCTTTGTGTAGCCTCCTCTGGAGCTTTGTGTGGCCTCCTCTGGAGCTTTGTGTGGCCTCCTCTGGAGCTTTGTGTGGCCTCCTCTGGTGGAGCTTTGTGTGGCCTCCTCTGGAGCTTTGTGTGGCCTCCTCTGGAGCTTTGTGTGGCCTCCTCTGGAGCTTTGTGTGGCCTCCTCTGGTGGAGCTTTGTGTGGCCTCCTCTGGAGGAGCTTTGTGTGGCCTCCTCTGGAGCTTTGTGTGGCCTCCTCTGGAGCTTTGTTTGGCCTCCTCTGGTGGAGCTTTGTGTGGCCTCCTGGTCCCCTGCAGCTTGTCCTTAACAAAGTGAAAGTGTCAGATGTGTCGTTACTTTAACAAAGTGAAAGTGTCAGATGTGTCGTTACTTTAACAAAGTGAAAGTGTCAGATGTGTCGTTACTTTAACAAAGTGAAAGTGTCAGATGTGTCGTTACTTTAACAAAGTGGAAGTGTCAGATGTGTCGTTACTTTAACAAAGTGGAAGTGTCAGATGTGTCGTTACTTTAACAAAGTGGAAGTGTCAGATGTGTCGTTACTTTAACAAAGTGGAAACCACCGCAGAAACCTTTTCCTCTTCTGTTTTAGCAATGAGTCCATCTTTGTCTCAAAGATAAAACTGATTGGAAAGTTTGGAGCCAGATTATTATAATAATAATAATGAGATCAACAGTTTAATCTTCTGAAGTCGTTACATAAAGATGTGTAAAAACCTTTGTCTTCACACGTTTGAAACATGTCGCTGTAATTCCTCATTCTCCCTGGAGCTAAATGGAAACGTTAGTTTTATTCACATTTATATTAGATTTTACAAACCAACTTTTGAATCCTTTCTATGTTTTACATTGTTCGCTCATCAACATCAGATGAAGTATGTTGTAGTTCCAGTCTCTAAGTGTTTAAAAGTACTGCCCATAGATCAGCTCCTCTGGTGGCAGATCAGGGAGGTACAAACAGAATGAACATAATCTCTTCAGATTTGATTTCACATTTTCAATTATGGAAGACACAGAAAAACTTGATCATAATAATCTTTTATGGACAAATAGTGCAGAATGTTTCTTCTGTAAAACCCTCTGTGCAGAGTCTAGAGTCTGGAGTCTGTGGAGGAGGTAAAAACTGAAAACTAGAGTGTGGCTAAACCATAATTTAAACACGTGCTGTAAGTGAAGGTAATAGTATTTTATATAGTATTTGTAATACTCTAAAGTGCTGTATAAAGTCCTCTGGGTGAGTCACGGCTGCAGGACACACGTGTTCTGGAACATGGATCTGCTGCTCTTCACTTTTTGAAGGATCTTTCTTTCTCTAAAATTGAGTCAGAATACAACGTGACCATCGGACCATTGTCCTCTCTCTACACGTATGTGTCCGAACGTTCAACAGCAGCTCAAAGGAGTCGCTGTGCAGCTGCTGAATCATGAAGAAAATAAGAGTTCTTAGAGTTTCATGTTGGAAAACAAACTCTTACTATTAGATCCTCTTTTTAGGCCTTTAAACACTGTTGTTCCTGGTTCTTATGAGTCTCAGTCTGATCCCTGCAATGGTTTGGTCTCATATGGTTTGGTCTCATATGGTTTGGTCTCATATGGTTTGGTCTCATATGGTTTGGTCTCATATGGTTTGGTCTCATATGGTTTGGTCTCATATGGTTTGGTCTCATATGGTTTGGTCTCATATGGTTTGGTCTCATATGGTTTGGTCTCATATGGTTTGGTCTCATATGGTTTGGTCTCATATGGTTTGGTCTTGTGTTCCAGGACACAGCGATGGGGAAGCCTCGGGAGGTGTTCCACTTGGACCCAGACTCTGGAGGGTGTGAGAGTCGCCTCTGTGCCTCCCTGAGCCTCACCTCCTCCACCTGGGCCGCTCTGTCGGACGGGACGGGCCGCCTCCTCCTGCTGCGCACGGGCCAGAGGGGGGCCGCCTCACACCAGTGGGAGGTCAGTGGGAGGGGCCGCCTCACACCAGTGGGAGGTCAGTGGGAGGGGTCGCCTCACACCAGTGGGAGGTCAGTGGGAGGGGTCGCCTCACACCAGTGGGAGGTCAGTGGGAGGGGTCGCCTCACACCAGTGGGAGGTCAGTGGGAGGGGTCGCCTCACACCAGTGGGACGTCAGTGGGAGGGGTCGCCTCACACCAGTGGGAGGTCAGTGGGAGGGGTCGCCTCACACCAGTGGGAGGTCAGTGGGAGGTCAGTGGGAGGGGTCGCCTCACACCAGTGGGAGGTCAGTGGGAGTGGGAGGGGTCGCCTCACACCAGTGGGAGGTCAGTGGGAGGGGTCGCCTCACACCAGTGAGGGGTCAGTGGGAGGGGTCGCCTCACACCAGTGAGGGGTCAGTGGGAGGGGCCGCCTCACACCAGTGGGAGGGGCCGCCTCACACCAGTGGGAGGGGCCGCCTCACACCAGTGGGAGGGGCCGCCTCACACCAGTGGGAGGTCAGTGGGAGGGGTCGCCTCACACCAGTGGGAGGTCAGTGGGAGGGGTCGCCTCACACCAGTGGGAGGTCAGTGGGAGGGGTCGCCTCACACCAGTGGGAGGGGCCGCCTCACACCAGTGGGAGGTCAGTGGGAGGGGTTGCCTCACACCAGTGGGAGGTCAGTGGGAGGGGTCGCCTCACACCAGTGGGAGGTCAGTGGGAGGGGTCGCCTCACACCAGTGGGAGGTCAGTGGGAGGGGTCGCCTCACACCAGTGGGAGGTCAGTGGGAGGGGTCGCCTCACACCAGTGGGAGGTCAGTGGGAGGGGTCGCCTCACACCAGTGGGAGGTCAGTGGGAGGGGTCGCCTCACACCAGTGGGAGGTCAGTGGGAGGGGTCGCCTCACACCAGTGGGAGGGGTCAGTGGGAGGGGCCGCCTCACACATAGTGAGAGGTCAGGGTCCACTGTAGGGTTGGGGTGAAAGGTTTTACGGCTTGTGTGAACATGTCGTTATACAGCTCTGGACTTTCATAATAAACAGAAATGTTGTGTAGTTAAACTAGTTTGAGTTCAGAGAGCTGTGAAAAGTGTTTGATGAATAGTTATGATTCTTTTATGGTGTGAACTGGAGCTGAACGACATGGACTAAGTTTTAATTCTTCAGATATCTGGAGCAAAAGAGATTTTATATCAATCCTTTTCTGGAAGATTCAAATAATTTATAGCTGAAATATACACTAAAGCTGTTGTTCATGTATCGTGTGCTCCTCAGTCCTACTGCTCTGTAAGCTGTGATGCAACACTGACATTTCCCCGCTGTGGCATCTCTTAGTCTTTATAAGATCAGATATTCTTTTATTGGTCCCACACTGTCATCGTTGCACTTTACAGCAGAAAGAAGGAATCAGGACTCAGACGCACACATCAGAGTCTGTCATTTAGGATAATAGACAATATAATTAAAATAAGATGAAAAGATGGGAAAATAGAATCAAATAAACGTGTTTGATTTTATCCATCTCAGTCTGAGTGTGAAGGGAAATCAGGTAAATGGGGATAAAGATATCGGAAATGGCACAGCCAGTAGTTTTTCAGTTTATCATCAATCATAGAGAATAGTAAAGTATGGACTAAATGTTTTTGTTTTAAATAAACTAAATCCCTTGGAATTGAAAGGAGATATTATGTGTGAGGTTGGTGGATCACAGACATGAGCTCGAGGCTGTGTTGTCATGGTGATGGTGGGAAGCTGCAGAAGGACGAAACGGGAAAACTACCAGAACAACAATTATCTGTGCATATATGTAGTGTGTACTGCAGGGGTCTGTGTATATATGTAGTGTGTACTGCAGGGGTCTGTGTATATATGTAGTGTGTACTGCAGGGGTCTGTGTATATATGTAGTGTGTACTGCAGGGGTCTGTGTATATATGTAGTGTGTACTGCAGGGGTCTGTGTATATATGTAGTGTGTACTGCAGGGGTCTGTGTATATATGTAGTGTGTACTAGGGTCTGTGTATATATGTAGTGTGTACTGCAGGGGTCTGTGTATATATGTAGTGTGTACTGCAGGGGTCTGTGTATATATGTAGTGTGTACTGCAGGGGTCTGTGTATATATGTAGTGTGTACTGCAGGGGTCTGTGTATATACAGTGTGTACTGCAGGGGTCTGTGTATATATGTAGTGTGTACTGCAGGGGTCTGTGTATATATGTAGTGTGTACTGCAGGGGTCTGTGTATATATGTAGTGTGTACTGCAGGGGTCTGTGTATATATGTAGTGTGTACTGCAAGGGTCTGTGTATATATGTAGTGTGTACTGCAGGGGTCTGTGTATTATATGTAGTGTGTACTGCAGGGGTCTGTGTATGTAGGGGTATGTAGTGTGTACTGCAGGGGTCTGTGCATATATGTAGTGTGTACTGCAGGGGTCTGTGCATATATGTAGTGTGTACTGCAGGGGTCTGTGTATATATGTAGTGTGTACAGGGCAGGGGTCTGTGTATATATGTAGTGTGTACTGCAGGGGTCTGTGTATATATGTAGTGTGTACTGCAGGGGTCTGTGTATATGTAGTGTGTACTGCAGGGTCTGTGTATATATGTAGTGTGTACTGCAGGGGTCTGTGTATATATGTAGTGTGTACTGCAGGGGTCTGTGTACTGCAGGGTCTGTGTATATATGTAGTGTGTACTGCAGGGGTCTGTGTACTGCAGGGGTCTGTGTACTGCAGGGGTCTGTGTACTGCAGGGTGTGTGTACTGCAGGGGTCTGTGTATATATGTAGTGTGTACTGCAGGGGTCTGTGTACATATGTAGTGTGTACTGCAGGGGTCTGTGTATATATGTAGTGTGTACTGCAGGGGTCTGTGTACTGCAGGGGTCTGTGTACTGCAGGGGTCTGTGTACTGCAGGGGTCTGTGTAGTGTGTACTGCAGGGGTCTGTGTACTGCAGGGGTCTGTGTACTGCAGGGGTCTGTGTAGTGTGTACTGCAGGGGTCTGTGTAGTGTGTACTGCAGGGGTCTGTGTACTGCAGGGGTCTGTGTAGTGTGTACTGCAGGGGTCTGTGTACTGCAGGGGTCTGTGTACTGCAGGGGTCTGTGTACTGCAGGGGTCTGTGTACTGCAGGGGTCTGTGTGGGTCCTTAGTATCACAGCAGCTCTGACCTGAGCTACACATTTGAGCTTCTTTGAGTTTCTCTGAGTCAAATAATTGCAAACGGTAAAAAGCCCAAATGTCCATTTAAACAGAATATTCTGTTGGTCTGTAAACGTTGTTCTGCCCCGGTCGGACTCGACATAAACCCGGTGCAGGTCTGCGCTGGTCGGACTCGACATAAACCCGGTGCAGGTCTGCCCCGGTCGGACTCGACATAAACCCGGTGCAGACCTGCACCGGTCGGACTCGACATAAACCCGGTGCAGGTCTGCGCTGGTCGGACTCGACATAAACCCGGTGCAGGTCTGCCCTGGTCGGACTCGACATAAACCCGGTGCAGGTCTGCCCTGGTCGGACTCGACATAAACCCGGTGCAGGTCTGCGCTGGTCGGACTCGACATAAACCCGGTGCAGGTCTGCGCTGGTCGGACTCGACATAAACCCGGTGCAGGTCTGCCCTGGTCGGACTCGACATAAACCCGGTGCAGGTCTGCCCTGGTCGGACTCGACATAAACCCGGTGCAGGTCTGCCCCGGTCGGACTCGACATAAACCCGGTGCAGGTCTGCACTGGTCGGACTCGACATAAACCCGGTGCAGGTCTGCACTGGTCGGACTCGACATAAACCCGGTGCAGGTCTGCGCTGAAGGATAAAAGAGAGTCATTGGTGAGTTTTATTGTTGCAGATGATGTTTTGAAGAACAGCTGTGTCTGAGTCACTAAAGACGACCAATGAGCAGTGATTAAAACAGACGTGAAAAGAGGAGGTTTTAAATGTGACATTTACTTTCATTTCTGGATTCAGGACTTTACATGAGAATAAAGAACTGCTGCTGTATCTGTAGTAACTGTAACTGCTGTAGTAACTGTAACTGCTGTAGTAAGTAATCTTTAGTAATCTTTATTTATATACCACCTTTTCACTGCACATCGGAGTCTCAAAGCGGTTTACAATTGTTATTTTTGGGAGTGGGGGTGCCAGTACAGGAGGCACATGCCAGACCTATTGTACAGATTTTTAGTGGTAGGGGAAACCGGAGCACCCGGAGGAAACCTACGCAGACACAGGGAGAACATGCAAACTCCACTCAGAAAGGCCCTGGTCCAACCGGGATTCGAACCCAGGACCTTCTTGCTGAGAGGCGAGGGTGCTATCCACTCAGCCACCGTGCCGCCCGTTACTAGAGATACAGAAGTTACTACAGATACAGAAGTTACTACGGATACAGAAGTTACTACAGATACAGAAGTTACTACAGATACAGAAGTTACTACAGATACAGAAGTTACTACAGATACAGAAGTTACTACAGATACAGAAGTTACTACAGATACAGAAGTTACTACAGATACAGAAGTTACTACAGATACAGAAGTTACTACAGATACAGAAGTTACTACAGTTACAGAAGTTACTACAGATGTTACAGCAGTTACAAAAGTTACTACAGATACAGAAGTTACTACAGATACAGAAGTTACTACAGATACAGAAGTTACTACAGATACAGAAGTTACTACAGATGTTACAGCAGTTACAGAAGTTACAGCAGTTACAGCAGTTACAGAAGTTACAGCAGTTACAGAAGTTACTACAGATACAGAAGTTACTACAGATACAGAAGTTACTACAGATACAGAAGTTACTACAGATACAGAAGTTACAGAAGTTACTACAGATACAGAAGTTACTACATATACAGAAGTTACTACAGATACAGAAGTTACTACAGATGTTACAGCAGTTACAGATGTTACAGAAGTTACTACAGATACATAAGTTACAGAAGTTACTACAGATACAGAAGTTACTACAGATACAGAAGTTACTACATATACAGAAGTTACTACATATACAGAAGTTACTACAGATACAGAAGTTACTACAGATACAGAAGTTACTACAGATACAGCAGTTACTACAGATACAGCAGTTACAGCAGTTACAGAAGTTACAGCAGTTACAGAAGTTACTACAGAGACAGAAGTTACAGCAGTTACTACAGATACAGCAGTTACTACAGATACAGCAGTTACAGCAGTTACAGAAGTTACAGCAGTTACAGAAGTTACTACAGAGACAGAAGTTACAGCAGTTACTACAGACACAGAAGTTACTACAGATACAGAAGTTACAGCAGTTACTACAGATACAGAAGTTACTACAGATACAGAAGTTACTACAGATACAGCAGTTACAGCAGTTACAGAAGTTACTACAGATACAGAAGTTACTACAGAGACAGGAGTTACTACAGAGACAGAAGTTACAGCAGTTACTACAGACACAGAAGTTACTACAGATACAGAAGTTACAGCAGTTACTACAGATACAGAAGTTACTACAGATACAGAAGTTACTACAGATACAGCAGTTACAGCAGTTACAGAAGTTACTACAGATACAGAAGTTACTACAGAGACAGGAGTTACTAGAGATACAGAAGTTACTACAGATACAAAAGTTACTACAGATACAGAAGTTACTACAGATACAGAAGTTACTACAGCTACAGAAGTTACTACAGATACAGAAGTTACTACAGAGACAGAAGTTACTACAGATACAACAGTTACTACAGAGACAGAAGTTACTACAGATACAGAAGTTACTACAGATACAGAAGTTACTACAGATACAGAAGTTACTACAGATACAGAAGTTACAGCAGTTACTACAGACACAGAAGTTACTACAGATACAGAAGTTACTACAGATACAGAAGTTACAGCAGTTACTACAGACACAGAAGTTACTACAGATACAGAAGTTACTACAGATACAGAAGTTACTAGAGATACAGAAGTTACTACAGATACAGAAGTTACTAGAGATACAGAAGTTACTACAGATACAAAAGTTACTACAGATACAGAAGTTACTACAGATACAGAAGTTACTACAGATACAGAAGTTACTACAGATACAGAAGTTACTACAGATACAGAAGTTACAGCAGTTACTACAGATACAGAAGTTACTACAGATACAGAAGTTACAGCAGTTACTACAGATACAGAAGTTACTACAGATACAGAAGTTACAGAAGACAATGGCGGGCGCTGTACAGACGCGCAGGCTGGCAGGTCCTGCTAATTGCCTCAAAAAGTTATTCCAGCGCACAGAAATACGTCGTATCCATTACTGTTGTATTCTTTATGTTGTATTGCAACACTATGGCTGATGGTGTGCACCGTGCGCGTGTGTACACCTCCTAAAAACCAAGTATACAGCCTGGCACCGAGAAGTCAACTCATCCTGCACTCAGTTTACTCAGATTTTGGCAGCACCAAAACTTCAAAGGGGAAAAAAACCAAACCGGACCGCTGTACGGGACTCACAAACCTCCTGATCATTCTACTCCTCGCGGGAGATGTGGAAATAAATCCCGGACCTTCAATCTTGGACTTTTTTGGTACACCAGGCAACGAACAACACAGGCTCTCCCAGTTACTACCGGAGACAACGCAATGGCCAATACAGCTCATCCAACCATCACAAGCACTGTGGCCACTACTACACCTTCCATATGTTCAACCCCACACATGGCCACAATTGCAACAGTGGCCTACATTCTTTCAACCACTCCAGCCAGTTAACATGAACCGGAGTCTATGGCCCACTTCACAGCAGCTAATGTTGCTACATCAAGTAAGCAGTGCGCACCTGTGCCCTTCCGTGGGCGTCGGGGGGCTGAGTCCTCCTGCTCCGGAGCCGGTGGTGCCTGGCGCGGGGGCCGGTGCCGGGCCGGGGTGTTGGGGCGGGGTGCGTGGCGCTGCTGGGTGTCTCGGTGGCGCTGCGCCCCTTGCGCGCTCCATGCCGCCACCTGGTGCGTGTGCTACTGCGCGCAGGGCCGAGGCTGATGGGCCCGTAGGGTGCGCCGAGGGGGGTCTGGGCCTGCTGGGTGGCGCACCCGCTTGCGCGTCTGTGGTCTGTGCTGCCGCGGCGCTGGGGAGTCCGGGGATCACGGAGACGCCATGGGCAGAGGCTGCGGATCTGCGGCGGACCTATCACTCGCCTAACATCTCAACAACTGGACCCAGTAAGCAAACATCTACACACGTGCCTAGACATAGAAATCCTGTATTCAAGAAGCACCGAGCGACCAATCTATTCCAGACTCTGAATCAAGCGAGGACAATATGGGACACGAAGTTTAGAAAAAAAGGACTACTATGTGGCCATCTCAATATACGTAGCATGACCCCCAAAAAAGAACAGCTGGAACACCTTCTCATGAACTCTAATATTAACCTATTGGGGCTTACTGAAACGTGGCTTACCCACTCCTCTCCAGAAGCAGTGGTGACAATGCAAGGATATAATGCCTTTAGAAGGGATAGGACTCAGGGAAAGGGGGGTGGTGTTTTAGTTTATGTTAAAGATAGCATCAAATGTATGGAAATTATATGGCCTGCTGATATCACAATTGAATGTATCGGAATTAATGTATCACTCTCTGCAGAAATGACACTCACTGTTATATATCTGTATCGTCCACCCTCCACAAAAGTGGAGTTTTATGAGCAATTTAAGGTCCTACTAAACAGATGCAACTTTAACAAAGAGGTTATTGTTTTAGGAGACTTCAATGTTAATTGGGGAAAAAAAAGTGACAGGAAAAAACTTAAAGAGGTCACAGATCACTTTGGCCTTACACAAATTATTAATGGTCCCACAAGGATAACAAGTCTTTCAAGAACACAAATTGATCTTGTGTTTACTAATAAACCAGAAAGAATAATAAAATCACACAACTTCTTGACAGGACTTTCAGATCACAATGCAATTTTTATCTCCAGAAAGCTCTCTAAAAAACGACATAACCATAAAAGCTTAAGCCCTAATCGATTGTTTATACCAAAAAGTCAAGAACAAAATGTAGCTGTTGCATTGAATAACTTTAATTGGTCTGAAATTACTTCTTGTACAAATATTGATAAATGCTGTGACCTCATTTACTCGTCAATCAGTGATGCCGTGAGACCGTTTCAAAGAATGGGATCTCATAAAAAACAACTACATCATTTACCTTGGATCAACAGGGACTGCAAACAACTTAAAATTCATAGAGACAAACTTCTTAAAAAATCATTAAGGTCTGGTCTAACGACTGATAGACTAAATTTTGTCTCAATAAGAAATAGGGTTACACAGACTTTAAGAATGGCAAAAGCAAACTTCTTTATAAAGGTGATAGATGATGCCAGAGGAAACTGTAAAGTTATCTGGGATAATATTAAAAAATTGACTGGACAACCAAGAGAAAAATGTGGAAGAGAACTTGAGCTTAAATTTGATAATAAATTGGTCTGTGATCCTGTTATCCTTGCTGATAAATTAAATGAATACTTTCATAACATCACAAATGAGATTGCACAATCTTTTAGATCGCCCTGTGATCCTTTTACTAATTCATGTAATGAAATAGGGAAACTAGGTGACCGCATACTCTCCCATAATGCACCTGAGTTTAACATTGAAAGAGTCTTGGAAATCGATGTATTAAATATAATCTCAAAATTAAGAAATTCAAAAGCACAGGATATATTTGGAATAGATACCAATCTAGTGAAGCACTATAAACTGTGTCTGTCAAAACCCATCACACATCTAATTAATGTATCGATTACACAGGCAGCTGTTCCACTGAAGTGGAAGATGGCCAAAATTACACCTATCCATAAATCGGGTGACAAAACAGACCCCGCTAACTATCGGCCCATCAGCATTCTGCCCACCATCTCAAAGATTGCTGAAAAATGGGTGGCCAAATCTATTACAGAACATCTCAACAATGGCAAAGGCCTACACCCCATGCAATTTGGGTTTAGGTCCCAGCACTCAACAGAAACAGCTGTCTGTGTATTCGTGGAAAAGGTCAAGTCTTATCTTGACAAAAATAGTTGTGTTGCAGCCGTCTTCATTGATTTTAAACGTGCATTTGACACGATCAATCATTTAAAACTCCTGTCAAGACTGTCTGAATTTAACTTCAGCGCTCATTCAGTTCAGTGGGTGAAGTCATACCTTTTAGACCGGCAGCAGTGTGTGCAAGTAGGTGACAGTAGGTCCCCCTTTCTCCATTACAACATAGTGGTTCCTCAGGGGTCAATTTTAGGCCCCTTACTTTTCTCACTGTATGTCAATGACTTACCAAGTATCTGTAAGAATGTGGACACCATAATGTATGCTGATGACACAGTTATTTTTACAAAAGCAAGAAGTGCAGAGGAGGCAGCCCTTTGTCTGTCAACAGTTCTTGGTGATCTACAGAAATGGCTACGTGACTCCTATCTCTGTCTCAATGTTAAAAAAACAGTATCTATGTTCTTTTCCAAGCCAAACACAAAATTAACCCCAGCAAAGGTAAACCTGGGAGGTGTAGCCTTAGAGAATGTAGAACAATTTAAGTATCTTGGTGTACTGCTAGATTCAAAATTGTCATTCCATAATCATGTCAAAAAAATAGTAAAAACCATAAAATTAAATTTACATAATTTTAAACATATTCGAGCTTCCTTGACTGACCAAGCAGCACTAACTTTCCTACATTCTATGATACTGTCTCATATAGAATACTGTATCACGAGCTGGTCTTATGCTGGTATCTCAGCGATTAAACCAGTCGAGTCATGCTACAAAAGGGCACTTAAAATCCTTGACAAAAAACCTCTCTCTTTCCACCACTGTCAAATCTTAGATAAATACAAGTTACTAAGTTTTTCCAATTTTAAGTTATTTAAATCTACTTGCTTGATCTACAAAGTCTTGCATGATTTGGCCCCCCCACCAATGAGTGAGTTCATCAAGCAGAAATCTGTTAGTGGCGCTGCTCGCTTGACTCGAGCGACAGTCAGAGGAGACTGTGATCTCCCACTGAGAAGGACAGCCTTCTCCCAAAATGTCCTGTCAGTCCAGGGCGTAAAGGACTGGAACAGAATACCAGCATCAGTGAGGGACTGCACCAGCCTCCCCACATTTAAGCATCAGTTAAAACTGTGGCTGAGGGACTCTCAAATATGTGAGCATGTGTAACATAAGTCTTGAATAAAGAAGCAGGGGAACAACAGGGAACAGTACAGAAGGGAATAGTGTAATAGGGAGCAGTGCAATAGGGAGCAGTGCAATAGGGAGCAGTGCAATAGGGAGCAGTGCAATAGGGAGCAGTGCAATAGGGAGCAGTGCAATAGGGAGCAGTGCAATAGGGAGCAGTGCAATAGGGAGCAGTGCAATAGGGAGCAGTGCAATAGGGAGCAGTGCAATAGGGAGCAGTGCAATAGGGAGCAGTGCAATAGGGAGCAGTGCAATAGGGAGCAGTGCAATAGGGAGCAGTGCAATAGGGAGCAGTGCAATAGGGAGCAGTGCAATAGGGGGCAGTGCAATAGGGAGCAGTGCAATAGGGAGCAGTGCAATAGGGAACAACAGTGCAATAGGGAATAGTGCAGTAGGGAACAGTATAATAGAGAACAGTACAGTAGGGAACGGTGCAGTAGGGAACAGTGCAATAGGATGTGTGAAATACAATGTCTCAAGTCTTTCTGTCAATTGTTGTTTACTGTCTCACATGTCTGTACGTGTTCAGCTGTCCTTGTACATGTCCTGTATATAGTCTTGTGTACACTGTATTTTTTGCATGATTTGTATTGTTACATCTTGTTTGTTTTTATGTTCTTTGTTTAACATCAACCTGCCAGGAGGTCTGCAGATGGAAATTAGCCTAAGGCTATAATCTGGCATACTTACATTTGTTAAATGTTCATTAATATGCATTGTACACTGCTGCGTATGATCAATGGATCAAACTGAACTTTCGGACGAATCCGGTTTCCGGGACAAATACGGGAGTGACAAGGACTACAAAATAATGAGTGTAACTGCAGTACCACTTTTGGCCAGATTTTTACATATTGCTCCTTTATTTATCACACGCTCCTCGCAGCAGCAGTAGAACCATTGATTTGAATGTAATTTCTAAACGTTCTACGGTCATTATTTTCTATAACGGACCTCTCAAAACAATAATGACCGCTGCCCTTTGGCAACGCACTCTCTGCTTGTCTTTCAAATGCGTGGATAACTCCGCAAGTAGTTCCAGCCACTCCGGAGCTAGCCACGCTCAATAAACACACTTAAATGTTAATCAGAGAATACTTATACATATACATTCTTCACACACGTGCACGGAAATTTTCAGAATTTTCTGGTCTTGTCTTCATGACAAAAATACAATGTATCTGCGTCAAAAAGCAATCGTGAAAAACCCGGGTTAGGGTTAGGTAAGTAGTTCCAGTCACTCCGGAGCTTTTAACGCTGATTAAACGCAAATGCCAATCAATCAACGCAATTAAATGTTAATCGGAGAATACATTATACACATATCCAGTCTTAATACAAGTGCACGGAAGTTTTCAGAATTTTCCGTTTATGTTTTCATGACAAAAACACTGATGTAATGCGAGAAAAGGCGATCCCGAAAAACCCGGAAGTAGATACCGGCACATTTTCGGACACATGCAGAGGATGGAATTATGGATTTAGGTTAAGTTTATGTATGGGTCACTCACCGCTGATGTTCAGGATTCTGTGTTCAGTTTTCATGCAGTTCCAGAGAGTTCTAGTTTGGAAGTTGATAGCCTAACTATTACTAGCATAGCCACGGGAAAGCCTTTGGGAACTATTTTATTTTCTGTCATTAAATAAACCTTTTGGCATTCCTTAAAGTGGACTGAAGTTTATTTCAGTCAGGCTACTTGTTGGTTCTTATTTTCCGATAATGACCTGCGTAGTATACGTTATCCCTTACATAATCACTGCTTAACATTATTATTTCAAACCAGTGCCATGCAAAAGTAGTATAATCAGCTCATAAAGATTAGTAGCCACAACAATTTTGACAAAAGCATATGAGATTAAGCAATGAAAACATAACAGTTTGAGTTGCTTTCAGTTGCTTTTACAAAATCCGTGTTTAGAGTGTGCAGACCTGATCCATGCAGACGGGCTGAAAGGTGACTCTCCCGCTGCAACCCTGATTTGCATTTGTATAGCTCACAGCATTCCCATTTACATGTTAAAGCCTCCTATGGGATTAGGAGGAGGGGGAACATGGGGGGCCCACATACATTTCTGACAAACGACCGTGAACAGCCGTACCCTACAGTGCTGCATAGTGACGGAAATCACACTTTTCATGCAGTGCAAGCTGTAATCGTCTATCCACTTATTATAATAGATCTATGATTAAACCCTGCGGCCTTTGTAGCAATGGCCAATGTTTATGTCTTTTTATTTTGTTAGAGTGCCCCCTGGGGTTTTTACATGTTTCATGAATCTTTCTTTTCAAATCTAGTGCAATTTATTTAGAAGTGCTCTAGTCCAGCAAATACATAAGTTCTTTACATGATGCGATCAGGAGTAAACGCTGCATGAAAAGTGGGATTTCCGTCACATGAGGCACTGCGTCGTGGAAGTTCAGGTTGAGCTGCCATGATGAATTGTCAGAAATGGACGTGGGCCACGCTTGGTAGTCGTCCCCAGGATCTATTATAATAACGCCCCCCCTCCTCCTTATTCTAGGGAAGGCTTTAACATGTAAATGAGAATGCTGTGAGCTATACAAATGCAAATCAGGGTTGCAGCGGGAGTTTTACTGCAGGAGACATTTTAAAGGATGAAAATCTCTGGTACAAACAGATCAGGCTCAGTATAGCCTAACTTTAGACTCTTACAATGAAGCTTGAATTGATTTATCTAATTAATGTATGCTATATTAGTGTGTATGCCATAAGCAATGGCAAATGTTATGTAAAAAAGATACACAAAATAAATCAGCAGTTAAAATATGAATCAGAATCGGCAGGTAAACATTAGAATCAGAATCAGCAGGTAAACATTAGAATCAGAATCAGCAGGTAAATATTAGAATCAGAGTCAGCAGGTAAACATTAGAATCAGA